ACGCCCCAGTGGAACCGCGGGTGAAGGCCCACACAAGCCCCGTAGCCTTTCAGCCGTGGGACTACATATATACACACTCACTCTCTCACTCACACAGAGGTTACAGAAAACAACCGAACGCTGCCACCCACTATGCCAGCTACCAGAGGCGAACGCTGGTACCCTCTGCACCAGCTACCAGAGGCGAACGCTGGTACCCTCTGCACCAGCTACCAGAGGGCTGCCACCCACTATGACAGCCACCAGAAGCGAACGCTGGTACCCACTGCACCAGCTACCAGAAGCCTCAAGCAATGTCTCGGTGAGGCTTGCCAGGTCAGAGTTGCAATGACTCGTCAGTCTCCCGACTCAGGCCCTTCCTTTGAACTAGTTCCCAGACCAGACTTATCCGGAGGATTTTTTCTTTTAGGAGCCTGAGGAATTTCGGGTGAATGTCGGCCGAGAGGTCGCTTATCCACCATGGTGGCTCTCCGGGGCCCTGGGAAAGAACAGGGGGCGCCTCCCCAGAGGCCCCCAAGGTGGGAACGGCTGCCCGGGCGAGACTTTGAGATGGCTTTTGTCTGGTGATAACAAAAAGAGAATATCTCGGTGGGACCTCCAAATGTTGTATTGGACCGAGTGTAGAAAGTTATCACCAAGACAAAAGTATGCCAGATTGCAGCGTCATTTATTATGCCGGCGACCACAGAGGACTCACGTCTCTCCAACCTGTGGTGCCAAAGGAGGGTGCCACGATTTTTCATACCCGAAAAACCACCTTGGGAGTGGGGGTGAGGGGCAGGGATGGGGATGAAAAGGTTTCGGACAGTCCAAGGGCTAGGGGATTCTGTGATTCACCTCCTGGGCGGAGACAAGGGCGGGGGTCTCCAGACATTCCTAGGTCTAGGGGACTTTTGTCATTCTGTTTGTTACCTCAGTGGTTTACAGAAGTCAAGATATACATTTGTTTACACATTGTCTGGGTGGTGATAGAAGTCACAGATTTTAGCAGTTACTGATAAGAAAAGGTAAGCAGCTTTACATAGTTTTGCAGAACAAACTAGCAGTTGTATTTACAGCGGCCAAGAACAGTAGTTATTGTGAGGAGAATGGGGCAGCCATTGCAACTTATTTAAAAACAGTTTTGCATTTTATAAAAATAGCGTTGCTCAGGTTCTGGCTCCAGGCCAGCACAATATCACATTTGTATTTTGTCTTGTAATGGTAATGTGTTTGTTTGAATTTGTTTGGTTTTGACCTCATATTGAATGGGAGTTACCAGTATTTATTTTGAGAAAATAAATCCACATTTATAATGCCCTTACCAAATAGTATAAAATATATTTTTATAAAGCTTAATAAGGTTAACAATTAGGAAAGCAAGGGGAAAATGTAATAAAATTATCTGATCACACAATACTTGTTATGCTGAAAACTTAATGAACAGAGAAGAAGAAAAAGAAAAAAATCTGCTATCAGCGATTACAACTACTAACATTTTCACGTATTTGTATCTATATCCACATATACATATATATTAAAAGTAGGATGTACAGTATTTACTACTTTTTATTTTTATTTATGTATTTACTTATTTATTTTTGAGACAGAGTCTTGCTCTGTTGCCCAGGCTGGACTGCAGTGGCACAATGTCAGCTCACTGCAACTTCCACCTCCCGGGCTCAAGGGATTCTCCTGCTTCAACCTCCGAAGCAGCTGGGACTACAGACACGGCGCCACCACACCTGTCTAATTTTTGTATTTTTAGTAGAGACAGGTTTCACCATGTTGGCCAGGCTGGTCTCGAACTTCTGACCTCAGGTAATCCACCTACCTCAACCTCCTAAAGTGCTGGGATTACAGATGTGAGCCATTGCATCCAGCCTTGTATCTACTACTTTTTAAAAGACAGTTTTACTTAGCAATTTTGTACACGAATGCAGTTGTGTGTCTCTCTGGGCGCTTTAAGCTGCGTCTAAGAGGAAGCCCTCCTCAGGCTGGCACACCCACTCAGAAAAGATTCTAACGCTTACACATCAGAAGCCAGAGCAAGGACAGTCTTCTGGCTGAAAGGCTCAGGTGTTCAAAGATGTCCTTAGTTCTCAGGTTCTTCCCGCCTCCCTGCCCGTCATCCATAGCATCAGCTTTGTGCTAGGACGGCTGCCCGCTGCATCTGGCGCTACGTGCTTCCTTGTCCACATGGTGGGAGGACCCTGGCTTCCGCATCAATCACCCTGTATTTAGTGTCAGGAGAGACCTTTCCCGAAGACTGGGCAAGCCTCTCCTGTTCCATAACCAGCCACTGGGCGCCAACCTAGCCTGTCTCTTGAGCTGAGGCTAATTCCTCAGCCTTATTAGTGCTATTTCAGGTGGGCCAGGAGAAGGGGCTGGCTTTAGCATGTCCATTGCAGTGTGTATCACGAAAGTAGAAAAAATCAAGTAGTGCTTAAAAATATCAACGAGTCTGGGCGCGGTGGCTGGCGCCTGCAGTCCCAGCATTTTGGGATGCCAAGGAGGGCAGATCAGTAAAGTCCAGAAGTTCGAGACCAATCTGGGCAGCATAGCGAGACCCTCTCTGCTTTTTAAAAATCACACACACACACACACACACACACACACACACCCCCACCCACCCCAGCAAGTTGCTGACCCATTCATTCTGTTTCATCTAGAGGCAAATATTTTTCAACTCTTTATGCTGTTTTTCCAGGATTTCCCTCCAAACTTCTCAAGCATATCTCATATCCTCCTGTACTGCCACTGCTTGATACCTAGTGTGGAAACCGAGGACTCCGCTCCCCTCCAGCTGCATCTCCTGCCTCCCCACTTCCCCTCCTATGGCATCAAGCTTAGGGGCTGTTATGATTGGAATTGTGTTCCCCTGCATATATTGAAGCCCCAACCCCCCATGTGACTGTATTCAGGGGTAGGGCTTTTAAAGAGCTAAGTAAGCTTAAATAGATCATAAAGGACCTTCTGAGAGGAAGAGATACTGGGTGTGGGTGTGCCCAGAGAGAGGCCACGTTAGGATACAGGGAGAGGACAGGAGAGCTGCTGCAAGTCAAGGAGAGCAGCTGCAGGGAAAACCACCCTGCAGGCACCTCGGTCCTGGGCCTCCAGCCTCCAGAACTGTGAGCAAACCAACATCTGCTGTTTCAGCCTCCCCGTCTGTGCTTTTTTGTTATGGCAGCCCTAGGAAACTAATAGAGTGTTAATCATTAGTTATTAGTAGACAAATACAGAAACAATTTGGCTAAATCAATAGTGATTTAATAATTGTAATTATGTAAATGTTGTTTGCTGCTGAAACAAGCTGTGCACTATAACTCTTCTCCTTTCTGGAATAACTTCTTTTGCATTCACCAGAGGGTAAAGTCTCTCTGTCTTTGTCTCTGTCTCTTTTGTGTCTAGTTTTCTTTTTCTTTTTTTCTTTTTCTGAGACAGGGTCTCACTCTGTTGCCCAGAAGATGACACCACTCTGGAGTGCAGTGGCATAATCAACTTACTGCAGCTTCTGCCTCCTGGGTTCAAGCGATTCTCCTGCCTCAGCCTCCAGAGTAGCTGGGATCATAGGCGTGCACCACCGTGCCCAGCTAATTTTTATATTTTTAGTGGAGACAGGGTTTTGCCATGCTGGCCCGGCTGGTCTCGAATTCCTGCCTCAAGTGATCCTCCGCCTTGGCCTCTCAAAGTGCTGGGATTGCAGGTGCCCGCCACCACCCCTGGCCTCGCGCCCAGTTCAATTTTCCCCCAAAGTGGTCCAACAGGAAATGCTTTTCTATCTTCTTCCTGACTCCACAGCCCCAAATCAGCAGTTTGCGCCTGCCACCCTCCATCCTTGGGTGGGCTCCGTCCTAGCTGGTGGGCTCGAGGCCAGGGTTCTACCGCCACACCCCAGCCCGCCCTTCCGTTCACCTCTCCCCTGGTGGAGCCTGTGTTCTGCGTTCCACAGCTTCCTCTCTCTCTGCTTCCCATCTTGTTTTCCCAAAGGACATCCTTTGTGAACAAGAATGCACAGCAGGCATCTAGTGTCCACGCACGCCTGAAGATGTTTTAAGTCTCCCTGACACTGGCTGAAAATGAAATTTGAGGCTGAGAGTTATTTTCCTACATTATTGTTGAGCATTTTTGGTTGTGTCTACTTTTTCATATATTGACTGCATTAGGTGCTAAATATTTTATTTTTTGTTGTAAGAGACAGGGTCTGGCTCTGTAGCCCAAGCTGGAGTGCAGTAAGGCCATCATAGCTCACCTAACCCCCAGCTCCTGGCCTCAAGTGATCCTCGTGCCTCAGCCTCCCAAAGCACTGGGACTACAGGTGGACACCACGACGCCCAGCCGCGTTTTTTTTTTTAAACACCTAAACCAGTTCTCTGGGATAAAGTCCTAAATGGGTCAAAGGTTGACACACGTTTAGCAGGTTTAAAACAAAACATGCTGCAGATTACCTTCCAGCACCACCCTACCTGGGTGCCCTCGTTTTGCGCTGTTTTTGCATTTTCATCAGCCCTGGATACCAGCGCTTTAAAAGTTGTTTGTCAGTTTGATGAGGAAAATGATGTTTGGAGAGCAGGCTCTGGCAGGGTGGGAGGTGCCCGGAAGTGTGAGGCAGGACCTGGGCCTGCTCCCGCCTTCCTTGCCAGCAGAGAGGACGGACGCCCGCGCCCACGTCCCTGCTGCACTCCCAGGGCTCGCGGGAAGATGGGGCAGGGCAAGCGCTGGAGCAGCCTCTCCCAGGGGCCCCCGGCCCGCTCTGCTTCCTCTTATCCCTCTGTGCAAGTATAAATACGAACGTGAAGATGGGAGTAAACCTAAGCTCTACGCATGACCCGAAAGGGAATTCCAGGGTGAAAATGGACCCCACCCGCCCTGGCCGTGGGACCCTGGTGCAATCACGTGGCAGCCAGCTATTACAAAGAAAGCTGCCATGAACTTTCGTGTACAAGCCTTTGTGGGCATATGGGTCTTCACTCCTCCTGAGTACATATTTAGGAATGGGAAGTTGGGATTATATGAAAGGTAAATGTTTAACTTTTTAGGAGACTGCCTAGCTGATTTCCAAAAATACTTGTACCATTTTTCATTTCCACCAGCAGGGCATAAGACTCGCTATTCCGCTGCGTTCTTGCCCACCTGGTATGTCCAGTGTTTTAAAATTTTAGCCATTCTGGGGCTGGGCATGATGGCTCATGCCTGGAATCTCAGTGCCTGGGAGACTAAGGTGGGAGAATCCTTGAGGCCAGGAGTTGGAGAACAGCCTGGGCAACATAGCGCCACCCTGTCTCTACAAATAAAATAAAATAAAATGAAATGAAAATTTAGCCTACATAACTGTAGTCCTAGCTACTCTGGAGGGTGAGGTGGGAGTATCGCTTAAGACCAGAAGTTGCAGGTTAGGGCAAGCTTCTGCCACTGCACTGTAGCCTGGCCCACACAGTGAGAGCCTGTCTCTCATAATGAAAAGTAGCCTTTCTAGCAGAGATGTAGTGGTATCTTACACAAGTTTTTTGTTTTCATTGAAGTTTTAATCTGCATTTCCTTAATGCTAGTGATATTAAGTATTTTTTCATGTCTTTATTGGCCACCTGTAGAACATCTCCTGGTGAAGTCTCTGTTCAAAATTTTGCCCTTAAAAAAAAATTGAACTGGCCAGGCACGGTGGCTCACACTTGTACTCCCAGCACTTTGGGAGGCCGAGGTGGGCAGATCACCCGAGGTCAGGAGTTCGAGACCAGCCTGGCCAATGTGGTGAAACCCTGTCTCTACTAAAAATGCAAAAATCAGCTGGGTGTGGTGGCACATGCCTGTAATCCCAGCTACTCTGTAGGCTGAGGCAGGAGAATTGCTTGAACTCGGGAGGCAGAGGTTGCAGTGAGCCGAGATCGCACCACTGCACTCCAGCCTGGGTAACAGAGGGAGACTCTGTCTTAAAAAAAAATGAACTGTTTGTCTTCTTATTATGTTGTAAGAGATACATATATGTATTCTAGATACAAGTATATGTTTTGGAAATAATTTATCTCCATTTGTGGCTTGCTTTTTCATTTTTGTAATTTTTTTTCTTTTAAAACTTTTAAGATAACTACAGGCCAGGCCCGGTGGCTCACACCTGCAATCCCAGCACTTTGGGAGGCCGAGGGGGGTGGATCACCTGAGGTCAGGAGTTTGAGACCAGCCTGACCAACGTGGCAAAACCCCATCTCTACTAAAAATATAAAAATTAGCTGGGCATGGTGATGCATGCCTGTCATCCCAGCTACTCCAGAGGCCGAGGCAGGAGAATCACTTGAACCTGGGAGGCAGAGGTTTCAGTGAGCTGAGATGGTGCCATTGCACTCCAGCCTGGGCAACAAGAGTGAAACTCTGTCTCAAAAAAAAAAATAAATAAAGTAAATTATAACTTTTGTGGCTGGAACCATCTTCCAGTAATTCGCCAAAATGAGTAACACAGAGGGAAAGAGGAGAGGCACCCGATATATGTTCTCTAGGCCTTTTGGAAAACATGGAGTTGTTCCTTTGGTCATGTATATGTGAATCTGTAAGAAAGGTGATATTGTAGACATCAAGGGAATGCACACTGTTCAAAAAGGAATGGCCGGCCGGGCGCGGTGGCTCACGCCTGTAATCCCAGCACTTTGGGAGGCAGAGGCAGGTGGATCATGAGGTCAAGAGATCGAGACCATC